GCGTTGGCGCCCCCTCTAGTGCAGCGCCCATATGAGTTGCATACAGTGCATACCCACTTTATGCGCCACTGTGTATATAGAAAAAGTTTACCTTGCCAATGCAATTATTGACACTTAAGTGCAATATATTACAGCAATAGGACAACATAAAGACAGTATTACAGTAAAACATCAAAATACAATCATATTAATATTGTAATCACTGAACTACTGAGTTTAAAATTATAAAACTATGGTGCAGTACCATATTGTGTAGATGCAGCAGGGGGCAGTATTGGACCAATACAAGGCTCTAATGACTGCCATTATAATTTATTAAACGTTAATATTTCAAAAACTATAAGTTGTACAGGCACCAAAAGGCATAGCCATCATTTGGCACAGGGGCTTTACAGATATAAATTACAATGGCAGCTCTAGGACAAAGTATGCAGGAGGAGAAGCATGGCAAAGTTGAGATGACTTGGATGGGAAACGAATCACAATAGTGTGCAATGCATTGGCAATGTACACTGATAATTAAATAAATGTTACTACACCCAAAAATCCTTTTTTAGTGTGCAGTCTGGGACATAAATCAACAGACGACTTGTTGTGGGCCTACAGTTTGGACCTTCTTGGACTAACTGTTAACCCGACCCTGGTCCAGCTGAAACTAGTTCTCCAAACTGAGGCCATATAAAAAGTTCAGCAGCTCAGATAATAATTCCTTATAAACAAAACTTTCCACAGTGTCCTACTTTCAAAGGTCTCAACCATCAGTTTGAGGCTGTCATTAAGGCCAAAGTTATGTTAACCAAATACTAAATGAAACGTCTGAGTACTTATGAGGTAATCTGCCTTTATTTTTACTTTGTCAAATACATTTTTGTCTTTGCTGTTGTGCAGAACCCTGTTCCACTTGACAAAAATAAAATGACATGAGTGTAAAACACTGGGGTCTGATTCAGCACTAAGTGACAGCTGAACCCCGTTTTGTCTCCTGCAGGTGAAACTCGGGCAGATCGTCTACATGCATGACAGCTCCGAGACCACCGAGGACCGTTTCACACTCTCTGCCTCAGCTTATGAGATTGAACGCCGCAGTCATCCTGTCACCATCTCCATTACCGTCATACCGGTGAACGATGAGGCGCCGAAAGTGACACGCAACACGGGCCTGGAGGTAAGGCTTCTGTCTGTGACAGTGCATTAGCTTTTACTTACAGCCTCCCTCCGACCGCTAAATGATGCTGAAACCACGCGGTGTGGAAAACATTTGTGTACCCATAAAAATGCAGTGTGCAGTCAGGAATCTTTATTAGTGTTTCAAAAACTGACATGAGTCTTATAAGAACATTAAGTTTTCTTTGCTTGTTGGTTGTGATGTGGTGAAAATAACTTGTGAATATTTGATTGGCAGCCATTCGTCCTCCCACTTGTTGTGATCTTAAACCCAAATAATGAAAAAACAAAGAAGCATCAAATGAGTGGCTTCATAAAAAATGATGGGATTCTGATCTGTTTAAAGGGACTCAGTCGTGGCTTTTTTTTTAAGTTGAGCACATTTTTCTACATGAAAACAGTGTTTTACTAAAATCATTTTAAACAGACATAAAATCTATAAAATGTCTTTGTTTTTTTAAAATGTATGAACTCTGAACGAACTCTTGCTTATGGTAAAATTTGCAGGTCATGAATCTTATGTGTGCCAGGTTGAACAAACACTTAATGTTTTTAGGGCAACAAATTAAACAGATGATGATAGATTTGTTTTTTCAAAGAGCCATAACAGAGGATACATTTTCTCCATTGTTTGGAGAGAAAACACACAGAAAAGTGCATTTATAAACTGTAAAAATACAACAATAAGCTGTGACGGTTCAGAGATTTATGTTTGCTGTCTTAAGCCCCACGCCCCCGCCGGTGGGGGCAAAATCATATTTTTTTGCTTTCTTTATTAACCAACGTTCTCATAGGTAAACATAGACATGTGTGGTATCTATAGAAACGTCAGGATCTTGGTTAAAAACTCATAGAAACCATTTCTACGTCCACCAGACACAGATAAAACAACAAGCAGTTGAATCTGTAAACAAACTGCACAAAATGGCGTCTCGGCAAAACCCGGTCTCATCTGTTCACCAGTGACTTCTTCACACAAA